TCCACTTTGGCACCCTGCTCGAGTAGTAGCTTCACGATCGCCTCGTGCCCGCACTCAGCCGCCAAAGATAGTGGTGTCCGACCATAATCATCCTTATGTTCCACTTTGGCACCCTGCTCGAGTAGTAGCTTCACGATCGCCTCGTACCCGTACTTAGCCGCTAACGATAGTAGTGTCCGACCATAATCACCCTTATGTTCCACTTTGGCACCCTGCTCGAGTAGGAGCTTCACGATCGCCACGTGCCCTTTCTTGGCTGCCCAGATAATTGGCATCTCAACATCCCTGCCGATCTGCTTGAGGGCCATCTTGCTGCAAGCACAGAAGAATGCAAGAAGGATATCATCGTCATGGTTTATGAGTGCATTAAAAATTCCTTTTCGTTGTGAGAAAGTGAAGGTGCGTGGAAAATGGTTTGGCTTGTTTCCAGAATGACAATATTGGTCGTAGATGACACGAAGAAGAGATGTTGTGGGTTGGGCATCTACCTGAATTCGCAAGAAGGTTTGCACTGCTTCGTCGCTTGCAGTGGCCAGGGCTGCGAAAATCGGGGGCCCATAACGTTCACCTTCGACATCGAAGCATGACAAATTGGATGGGTGAACTCTGATCAGGCTGGACAAGTTGTTCTCCGCCAATATATATAGCAAGGTCACCTTCTGAGTGTGCCGGCGTGTTTCGTGTCTTTCGACCAGGTTCGCAAGCCATACCCATCTGGCGAGCTGAAACGTGCCGATGAATTCACTCTGGTCAACCTCCTTGGCTTGTGCCTTGTTGGCGTGCCACAAAACATTTCGTACCGCGTACTCTAGGAACGGAAACTTTTCGCCCACACATTGACGGAGGCGCGCAGCTTCTTCCGTTGATGCCTTCGGCAGTTTGTCCACGTCACCCAGGTGGCTGGCAACATCGATGCTGAGATAGTTCAAGCAGCATTGCCTTAGACATTCGTGGCTTTTCCCTTCATAGGTGGACAAGGTGGTTCCCTTTTTGAGTTCCGGCCACAGCTGAAAGATGCCTTCATTCTTGAGGAGAAAGTCTCGCACTGATTCGTGAATGAACTGCACTGTTGGCAGTTTTGATCTCGTAAGTTCTGCAAGACCCTTGGATGAACTGAGCACATACCGGTTCATGTAGCTTTCGGTAATCCGCTTCGGGTCCCAGGCGCTCATCCACTCAGATTTAGGAGTGAGACCGGCAATCATTGCGAAGTAGAACTCTTCTCGCCGCAGCGGCCGTTTTGCAAACAAGACCAATTGCAGACACAGCAACAAATGATTCATCTTGACAGAATCTTTCGTCAAGATCTTTGTGAAGAGATTATCTAGCTCAGCAGGTATTTCTTTGAGCTTTTCCTGAACCGTAAACACACTGCCGCTGTCGAATTCTTGGTTGAGAATTGGAACAACCAACACCGCCCACAGGAAGACACCATTGGCTTTTTCTCGTATTTGTGGAATGATTTCCTTAACTAAATCCGTCTCTTCAGTTCGGAGATGACTCTGGATATATGCACCCAAATCCCCAGCATGACCATCTTCTTTTTCCAAGGTCAGCTGCCGACCGTACTTAAGATAGATCGTTGGGTAGTGGCGACTAGCGAAGCAAACGTAGAGCTGTGTTCCGTCACTGGGCGCATTTTGTCCTAGGTTTTCAAAGAAGATGATCATTTCTCGAATCTGTTTTTCTTCACATTCATCGAGGGCGTCAATGAAGCACCTTAGTCGTCGAGTCCCGAGTCTTGCAATGGCTGTAGAAAACAGCTCACACAGCTTTTCCTTTGTCCACATCGAGGATTCGTTTCGACCTTCTAGAGCGTCTAGGTCATCCAACAGATTCTGTAAGTCAGGGATCTTCGTCAGGAGTTGAAATAGTAAGGCTCGGTACAAGCCGACTGTTGAGTGCTCCAGCTGGTCCCCTCTAGCGTTGAAGAAGAAGGAAAGAAGAATCTCCCCCTCAGATGTCCCTTTGTAAGCCTGTGAAAGAGCGAATTTCATCAGAGTCGACTTCCCAGCCCCCGGCTTCCCATTGATCCATAGAAACCCACGGTGCTGGTGTATATGCTGTGGATCATTCCAATTCACATAAGCCGGATGTTTCAACAGCCATTGGCAGGTAGTTGAATAGGCATTTGTAATATTGGACTGGCGCGAATCCATTTGCTCAAAGCTGAGAGAGGCTAGCATCGTCCTTCGACGGTCAGAGAGCGTGTCTTTCCCTGGAGGGTTCGTAGTTGTCCCACGTGGAGGTGCAACGAGGTTATTAGAGAGCGACGGAAGACAGGCTTGCCCAGGACCATCCAACTCCCTCCGATAAGATTTAGCAATTTTGTTTTTCAACCGGTCAAAGGCTTTGTCTCTTTCGCCGTAGTTAACATGCATTGACACATTGAAAATTCCCCAGAGACAGTATGCCTTATCTTCTGTTCTTTTTGTCTTGCGTCCAGATGCCCACCGCATCCGCTCCTGAGGGGTGAATTCTTGAAGGGGCCTCCCACGAAGAGCTGTTTCAGGGATTCCCGTTATATTGGAGATGATCCGCTCAAGTGTAGTTTTATCACCCAATCGTACACCTTCACGAGAATAGAACTCCACTCGTCTCGGAGCAAGGAGTTCTTGCAGCGTCCAGCCCCGCGTGAACCACCTGCTTGTCCGGAAGCTGGGTTCCCAGATGTGAACATTTCCTGTATTGTCGCGTTTATGAGCCGAAACATCAGACAGGAACACATAGCACTTTTGTGCGTCTTTGTACCACTGAAACATTGACGTAATAGATTCTTGGAGAGCGGCGGAACTCGTCTTATCGATACAACATGTATCGATCCAGAAATATTGCAGACGGTCCTTCTGTGTTTGGTTCGCACAGAACTTGATCTTGGTGTAGCCTGCCTTCGACTGGCCTGATCCATCTTTTAGATCCTGGAAAGTCACCTCCTCGTTATCCGGGCCCCATGTGTGTGAGAGTATGACATAGGGCGGAATGTCTGTTTCCAACCTGTCGGTAAGGCTGACCTCACCATGAGGGCCAATTTTGAGCAGATGCATCGTGGGAATGTGTATCTCGTGAGGTGGGAAGGCTCGACAGATAAGTTCAGGCTATGTGATCAGGCATCCAGAGAGAGTGCTTGGACGTTCAATTCTCTTGCGAACTCGAATGGGCTGATCGAGGTACTGAGATAGACGTCGTCTTACAATTGCCTTTGAGGTTTTGGAGTACGCGGTTCAATTGGCCCCGCGGTGATTCGAAAGGACGTCTTTCGAGTCTAAAACCAATATAGCCAAGGGCAAGATGCTTGGAAGCAATCTCTATTCCGTATATCGAAAGCTTTGGAATGAAGTTGAGACAAGTGAGAGCAGGGAGAAATCTCTGGCCAGACTGAAGAGTGGCTTAGGCAAAGGCCTTGCCAATAAGTCGCCAAAGGTCCATGCATGGTGCCAAACGGCAGCAAAGAACCGCATTCGATGGCCATGCGTTGGTGTTGTAGGCTTGCCTCTCTACAGGCTAGTCTGCGCTGAAGCAACGCAGTCGGGCCAATGAGGTGACGAGAGTTGACGGTTATTGCATGCTGAGAAACAGGGCGCTGAGGCGAAGAGAGGCTCTGACACGAGTGACTCGGTATATATATTGAGTACCTTGTACGAAGTACTCATACGTGGACCGCAAAACAGGCGTGAAGAGGCTGAAGCAGCACCTCGAGCGGGATGCGGGTCGAGCCACCGGGACTAAGTGGGGCCTCTCGGGGATTACGGCTCATCCTAGAGAGGAAGCCTCCAAAGTGCCTTGGGCGAATGACCCCGCATTTGGCAATGGACATCCGTATCTGCCACAAGTCTGTGTTTACCCGTCACCCGCAAGCTTCATACGTACTCAGGTAGACCAAAGAATTACTCTTCTCTTCCCCACCTAGCCATCTGCCTCTCTTCTCCGCCTACTATTTCCTCGGAGCGCCGCCACCTTTCCTCACTTGCCTCGTCTCCCTCGGTGTCTCCTCCGTGGCTCAGATCCTGCCGTCCAACTTGCTGAACATGACCTCAACTTCCCGTCTACCTCTCCGTCTACCTCTGAAGGCTCGTGAATTAGGAGGTCTCCTGCGTGGTGGAGGAACATGGGGTTTATCAAGATTTGGTATTTCTTCGGTGAAACTGCAGGTGGTCTTCAAGTCACAATCCATCCACACCCTGACAATGTTCACAAGCAAATGTCCCGTCCAAAATAGAGAGAGAGGAAGAGAGGCTATCATCAGTCGTCATGATCACCGTTGACAACAGAGACACAAGGCACACCCCAGAGTAAGAGGAAAGAACCGGAAATGATAATCAGCCTTGTTCCTTATTGTGCCGTGATACCCTCCTATTATCCAGACAACACCCAGCTCCTTATGATGCAGTCAAGATCTGGCCTTACTTGAGCCGTGCGAAATAGAAATAGAAGAAGAAGAAGAAGAAGAAGAAGAAGAAGAAGAAGAAGAAGAAGAAGAAGAAGTAGGAGGAGGAGGAGAAGGAAGAGAGTACACCACATCTCATAATTCAGGATGATTATTCAAAACTGGTCAAAGCCCTTTGATGGTGTCATCTAGCCCATATTCCAGAAACGCCATGTTGGCCTCATAAAGCTGCCGATCGGCGCCCTGGAGGAAACTCTCGAAACGATCGCGAAACCGAGTGACCAGCGACTTGATCTTGCGCAGCTCAGAGCGAATCAGCACCATCTTGATTTGGTATTCGTCCTCGCTGTCCATCTTCAGTGACCCCATGGTGACGCCAACCTCATCGCACCCCTGGCACTCGCCATTGCGGATCTTCTTGTAGCACTGCACGATGCGGGTGATGATGACGGAGAGGATCATGACAGACGAGATATCCGGCAAGCAGTGGCAGGCTAGACTCTGGGCCATGCGCTGGACGGCTAATTTGTTGATAGCCAGGAACTTGTCAAACGACGGCATCGTGCCGTTGAGCGCGCTAAGGATGTCCTGTAACGAAGCCATGCAGTTGCACGAAGGGGCCGTGCTGGTGATTCCGGAGTTTGAGCCGTCATCGTTGAGCGTGCTTGTGTCGGAGCAGCTGAACTCTGGGTAGAGCATGATGTTGGCCGACGCCACGGTCATGCCCTCCGTGGCAAAAGGGACTTGAGCAGTATTTGCATCCATGCCGGACATCCATTCGGGCGACATCTGGAAGTCGGCCGAGAAGAGGTTACCGGTGGAGAAGGTTGCGGCAGAGGCGGAAAAGTCGTCGGTGCCCATGGTCGAGTGCGTGAATGTCTGTGTCAGTGTCGGATCGAGCGAAACACCAGTCGTCTCAGCCATGGGCTGCAGAGTCGTTAAACTCTGGTCGAGGACTGAATCTCGGCGGCTGCCGGGGATATCGACGTTCCACGACGCATCTTCAAAGTCGATGCTCATGCGCGCGTCTGACAGAGGAGACTCGGGTCGACTGCAGAACTCGGGCGTGGTGTTTTGCAGTTTGTTGTTGCCAAACGGGCCAGTCTTTTTGCCGCAGCCCTTGGGCTTCCCTGCTCGTCGTGATTTCGAGTAGATGCACGAGGCGCCCGAGTTGGCACACCTCGAGCACAGCGGACGTTCCTTTGTGCATTTGACCTTTGCTGCGTGACAGTTGTCGCACGACAGTCTGAGCTTTTTGTTATCCGGTGCTGTTGTCGTTGTCGTCGTTGCTGGGGTCGCAGGGGAGGCGCCTGGATTTGGCGGTGCAGCCTTGTCGACCACCACCGCATCGGCAGAGGCCATATCTTCCGCGATAGAAATAAAGTGGTAAAGACTGGGTACTGGTTTGCTGTTTTGATCAATCACTGTTTCCCGGTCTTTGTGCTGTATGGATGGGTAGGCAGGCAGGTAGATAGATAGATATCGAGATCACCAAAACATCTCAATGCTGGGCCTGGAAGGAAGGGGAAAGCTTTGAGAAACAGTAGTGACAAGAGGATTTTCCAGTGTTTACATATTCTCTGAACAGGACAGAATCAAGTACTGGGTAAATGCCACAAGGCACACAAACCTCATCTTGCCCCTCTGGTGCTTCCTTTGATTTAGGCGATCCAGCAGGAACTCTACAAAGCCATTCGATAGCCAGCCACTGCTAGTCTAAGGACAGGACAAGGATAGGGGCAAGGGCCGTTCCATTGATATCTCTACCTACCTACCTACCTACCTACCTGCGCACTTAACTCACCCATCTACCTTCCATTCGACCATTCGATCGTTCGACCATCGAACCAACCAGCCACTCCCAATAGTGATGCTGCAAGACAAGACCTAACCCGACTGACCGATCCTCGCGATACCTGTGTATGTGGGTGTGTGGGTTTATGTGTGTGGACCGGACCCGAGTAAACAAAGACAGCACGATACTCCCATCATCCCACCCCTCGATCATCGCTGTGGATTTGCACATGGGACAAAAAGAAAACTGGATCCGGCATGTGTCAAAGTACGAGGGGGAAAGAACATGGGAAAATCCAACACTTGCCCACGCCTCCTTTCCCACCCTCACTCCCCGGTCTGTCATCCTGATACCCCGGGGGAGTGAGTGAGTGAAACGACCACCAACAATGACCACCAATGACCTCTGACAACTTCTCGCTTGGCCTCGAGGCCCGTCCTCTTTCGACGTCATCGAGTATGACCATGAACGGTGAACGGGAAACGGGTTCGATTTTACATCGATTTGCAGGCAGGTTATGTATCTTTAAGTGGTGTGGCTCACGATCCCTGTGGAGTGGGCAAACATGATTGCCATGTTGACGTCGAGGTAGGTCCTCCATACCTACTGGTACTGATACGAGTAGGAATAGAGTCACAAAGGAAGAAAAGAACAAAGGACGAGCAACCTTGTCGTATTGCATCACCAGCCAGCTAATCGAGAATTAATCGGGAGTCGACTCCAGTCGGGACCAGACAATTGATATGTACGAACGAGTACAGAAGTTGTCCATCTTGTCCATCTCATCTCATTCAGACATGTGCTACCCTCACATCCGATCCTATGCCGATATGGCTGTGTGATCTAAACTACCATTCTCATCTTCAGCTTGTCCGTCTCCACAATCTCATCCTGCATGTCCACCAGCTCAGCCATGTCCCAGTTACACGACAGGTATCGGCCCCGCAGCCACTCGCGCCGCTTCTGCGTCAAGTACACGACCGTGTCGGCCATGAGTTCGGGTGTGTCAATCAGGTTGACCTTGACAAAGTCGGGCATCTTCCAGGACAGCTCTGTAGGCACGGCACCCGGGTGCATGCAGTACGCAATCACGCCCTGGGCGCCGTACTCGACATTGAGGAAGTCGGTCAGGCGCAACAGTGCGAATTTGGTTGTCTGGTACGCACTGGCTCCAGGGACGCACATTTGCGCGCCGATGCTCGACATGTTGACGATCGTCTTGAGGCTCGAGCCGTCGGCTAGAAGCAACGGCAACACGGCCTTCCAGGTAACGAACTGTCCGCGGATGTTGACCTCCCAGGACCGCCACCACTCCTGAACGTCGGCCTCGATCATGTTGGTCCAAGGTTCCATGTAGCCTGCGTTGCTGATCACGATGTCCAGCCGCCCGTCAAAATCCGGCGTCATCTTCTCCACGGCTCGCTGCACGCTCTCCGGGTCCAACACGTCCATGTTGGCCGTGACCACCTTGGGCACCTCGCGACCGACCGAGGTGGCAGCGTCCTCGATCTCCTTCTTGACCGACCCCAGATCCGAACGGGCTGAGATGCCAATGATCGAGGCTCCAGCCTTGGCGTAAGCGAGGGCCATGGACTTGCCAATGCCTCGTGAGGCTCCCGTCAGAAAGACGTGCTTGCCCACCATGCCCACGCTGTGCGAGACATCAATGGCCGGGTACGTGTCATGATGGATGGTAGGCGTGAAGTGCTCCCCTGTGGTTTTGCGAAACCCACACCCCATCAGCTCAGCTCGGCTCAACTCAAGCTCAAGCTAACACATGCAGTACGGGAAAAACACGGCCCAGGGGCTGACTTACCGATATGCGCAGGACCCGTTCTGCGAGGGTTTTCAAGGCTTCCCATTGT